TATTCATTTGAATTGATTCTCAACCGTCTCAGAGGTGAACGGATCAACCACTGTCACCCAAGCCGGCATAACTGCTCCTAGCGAAGTCCAGACGGATGCCAGCGCTTGTGAAAATCAGTCTAGCCGTTCGTGCCCATGCCCTCAAGGCAGGGAGAATCAGGAAGCGACTTCTACGGTTAACGGAGACCGAAGTACAAAAAGTGGGTGATTTCGGATTGATCCTTGGTTGCGCAACGTTAATTTCTTGATGCGTATAGTTCTTCGAGTAGATATTACTATTTCTATTGATAGAGTAACAGTGTTGATAGAAGCTGCACAGCTTACTACGTCAACTGAATTGAAATGTCCGATCGCTTTTTTTTTTTTAAATCCCGATCCAAAAGCTGCTTTGGCGAAACTCGGATGAGCCTCGTGATCATGACCACGGGCATTGAATGACAAATACGATGCAATCTCTTCGCTCAATCTTCATTCTGTTTCCTATGTCCTCTCTTCCTTCATGCCCTTCAGTATTCACCTCTCTAATTATTCTTCCTTCGTAATACTCGCATCTGCTATGTCTATCCACAATCACTCTACCTTCCCGAGTCCCTTTCTTACTCTTCGTACTATGCCGGTGATCAGAACTGCGATACAATGAATACCCTGTGAGTATAAATACCGGGCAATAAGATTAATCGATTACGGTTTATCCCATCCCTGCAACTTGAACGTTGAACAATGTCCTTCCAAAAATCCATCACTCTTCCGCACCGGTGCCAGCCTTCCTCAGATCGGTCTCGGAACTTGGCTTTCCATAAGTCGAGAACACTTTGAGCGCTTTTCCTGTCCGTTTACTATCTCCAATCTTTTCCAGTGACACGCGAACCCCATGCAACACCACTGTTCTTACGTGTCATACACGTATGATAGTACATTCAGGTCGAAATCGCTCCTCCGCTATCGCCATATCGACCCTACGATGGTCTAAGATGAAGTCGGTGCTGCCTTGAATCAAGTCATTCCTTACGTCGTCAAGTGCAAATTCTAAATTCTGCAACTCTTCCCCACCGAGATGCTGAAGTCGAAAAGGGGACGCTCGATCAATACGAGACTGATTACCAAGTTTATTTGCACCGTACGTATCAATTATTGTTGTTCTCTATACTCGACGCGTCCGAAACTGGTTTATACTTACCCGAGAACTATCGTTTCGTGTCGTTTCGTGATTTTTTTCGTTGTTTTCTCTTTCTTCCTTTTTATAGCCATCCACCGGCCAGTCGCTTTCAAACCGGGAAGACCCGCAAGATTTTGTTCCCTCCTACCCGGCAAAGGACAAGGAAGTCGAGCTTAACATGAAGACTTCCATCGTTGAAACATGGGAAGCCATGATCGCGCTCATCCAAAGTCGTCAACATTCAACAGCTCGAGGCGATCATCAAGCCTATCGGTGTCTTGCGGCTTTTGGACTTCTTTTCTCTTTGAGTATGACGTAGGTGCTGCAGTGTCTTTCAATTGTCTACAATTTCTGTGTAACAAAGAACCTGCTGTCAAAGTCGAGCACACCAGCCTTCCGCTAGAACGATCTCTCCTTGTAGTATGTAAGAGTATCATTCCAGCTGGACCAGCTAGTCTTGAAGTTAGACCCCAACCTATCTGCAACCCTGCGTCCCCCTTCCCAGTCATTTGGATCGAAATTAAACCTTGTAAGTATATCCAGCCAATGGGAACAGAGCTGTTGTCCTTGTGATACTTACCTTTGGGCGCCCGACGGGGCTGTGGGTCGAACACTGTTACACGTGCCCTCCTCCGCTCGTCGTCTACCTGTCTCAAGCTTGTTACTCGTCGTGCTGCTATCGTAGCCCGCAAACCTTGAAAATTTCAGCAATCTTAGAGAGTCTCCTTGGTCTTGAGGTAGATTTTTGCGATATCTAACGCATCCTCCCATTGCTTCATTGCCATAGCTAATGGAGACCCCAACGACATCTATAACCGCAGAAGGCTCTACTGGCATCGACGCCATCGATCATGCTACTATGGAGGAGGATCATGGTTTGTCCCCGTTCTCTCATTGAGCACTATCTGTGGCAATCTAACCATATCCTATCTTATCAAGGAAATTTGGCCAGTGATAACCCTACAACGATCGTGACCAATGTGGATGTCCCAGGACCTCTTAGTGGTACATCCACAACAACAACAGTAATCAGTGCAGGTCCCTCAGAACCTCCGGCCAGTGGTGCCTCGGTGATGACTGTGACTAACGAGCAGGATGCTGAAGCTTTTCGCACTGTCAGTCCAAGCACTCGTGGCTAATGTGATAGTCGCTCAATCGGTGCAGACGCTCCACGGCGCAAGTCATTCCGAGTTTAAAAACAACCAGTTCAACAACACTGGTCGTGACAAGATGACCATTGTCTACAATATCCGTGTCGATGGCAATGCAAGGGAAACGCATCTTGAACGAGACATGGATATTGTAATACGGTCTGTATAAATTCAGAAAAATCCTAGACTCGAACCAGTTGCTCACTAGCAGCTTCGTTTGATGGACGCGGGTTGTCAGGTGTGGAAGTTTACGCCGGGCCAGTAAAGCTGGCTGGAGTCTCTCTGAGCTTCGCGCTCCGCTTGTTCCTTAGAGAGCGAGGTCTCCGTGCAGATATTGGGGTTCTTGTAGTATTGGGGCTGATAATTTTGTCGAAGTTTGATGACGCGTTCTGCGCTAAGACTGTCCTTGTATTTTTACAAAGGCGTCGACTGTTTCGGCCGATCTTGAATTCGGAGTTACATGTTGGTTATAGAGCGTCATCGAGTTTTTTGAAGCAAGAAATAGTAATCTCGTGTGTTGTAGAATGCTGGGCCATCCTTGGGGATAGAACGACAAACCAACTCACTTCTACGCTGCTATGTCGTAAGTGCCAAAGCTTTCAGAGGTCTTTGTTTACCAAACAACGCGTTTGAGGCGTGGGAATTCATATATTCTCCGCAAAAGGCAGTTGTTCATGATCAACATCGTTGTATTCAGTATACCTTGTACTCTCGAACTGTCTTCTGTAAAACAAGGTATCCATGATGTCTCAACCCAAACTACCTGCTTCTAACTACTGGTTATACAACGGTCCTGTATAAATGACCTTAGAAGTTAGGGTCTCATAAGCGAGAGTCTACGAGTCTTTCCTTGTATTCGCAAAGACGGTACGCAATTTTGCCGTCAGAAGTTCCTTCTTACTGTCTTGAAAAATACAAGGTATCTATAGCTACTACAGCAAGACAATCTTAGACACACAAAATGTCAATTCTTCCATACCTCTGATTCGCGTATCTATCAACAAAATAGATCTGGTCGATGCTACTTTTGGCAATTCTTGTCTTGACGTCTCACAGATCCCCTGGTTGTTCAGCGATACTCCACCTCATGGCATTATACCTTGTAAATTCTAGAATTGCACGTTGGAAATCTTCTCAGAAACCGTCTCTAGGGTCGGACCAAAGCGCAAGGTTAGCAGAAGGTTATATGCTTGTCTTCGTGCGAACCCAAAACGTCGTCTTCCTGGCTTTTGACCTGTCCCCAGTACTCGTCCTAGCAAAGATGCCTGTACCCTCTGTTTTGTCTCCCACACCTAAAGAACTCGCAGCTGCTACTCAAGAGGCACGCGAAACATCTTTCGGAACGCGTCGCTCACTTAATCCACCTCCTCCGCCTCCCGGGTAAGACCTTTGTTCTTTCACGCGTGTTCTAGCTACAAAACATCCTCTTTTGACACTTTTTTTCTTTGTGCAGAACCGTTCGCGTGCACTTCTACTCGCACATGTACAAGGTGATCCGTGGTTCAGATCCCGACATATGGGCGGACGTGGTTTTAGAACGCAACGGAGACTTGGATGTCAGCAAACTTTGCAAAATGTGGGGACTCGACCATTGCCTTGTAAGACATCACTCGACTCTGTCTCTAGCCCTACGATTTCTAATCAATTTCTAGGCGATAGACCCAATGCGGTGGACTGTTCAACGCAGACCAGACGAAAGTCGGTTGTCTGGAATAGCAGTTCATGTACTCAGCAATGAGTTTAAGCGCCCTATAATGTTTACTGGTTCGTCTCGGAAGCTTCTTTTTCTCCTTGTTCACAACAACCTCATTCTCGTTGTAGAACTTCCTCCTGTGTCGAAACAAACGGCTCGTGTTCGCACATCTCGAGAGATCGCTCTCAGCCTCAGCAACGCCTGTTACTTGTTCTTTAGACTCCTTCTCGACCTCCTCATGGACTTCTTCAACTGTTGTACGCCAGTCCCATATTGGTGTCGCAAGACGAAGTTCTACTACACCCATATCGACTGGAAACGATACCGACAAAACATCAAATACACCACCACCGCTCTCAACAACGACTTGACCGTGGCACGTGCGGAATATCAGACATCGGCCCAAAGCTACATCTCGGAAAAACGAGGACAACTTGGTGAATCATCCAGAAGGCACTACAGGAGATTTATGGAAGCCGGACAAGAATTACTCTATGATCTAGCCTGTTTCGGGTGGGAGTTGTCGCGGCTTGCACTGTACGTGATCATCCCCGTCTTTATTTTGTGGTTGATGTCGCTTTTGATCCACAAGTGGCACATCCAAAGAGCGGAAAGCCGATTCCAGCGAGACGTTCAACTAGCCTTTCAGTGACTTACTTACTTGGGAAAGAGAAAAAACATTGTATTTCTATGGTATCATTACTACTCTCATGTTCACACTCCTTTTCTCTGCATTACAGATTTGTACTACTTCGTCCACCTACCTTCTTTTCGTTTATTGTACTCTATGCATTTCTTATTCCCTACTATGCTTACTATGCACTCATCTTGTCTACCTATGCCACCCTATGCACATCACTATACATATGCTCTTCTTTGCTGACTGAAGACTGTAGTTTCAGATTGCCGAGCAGAAGAAACAAAAAGCAGAGGTCTAACCAGGATTCGAACCTGGGTTATGGGAAGGGAAGACATGGTCAAAATCCCATGTGCTAACCACTACACTATTAGACCGCGACAGTGCTCCTTGTCGGTCGCAACAGAACAAGAAAACAACTAAGTCTCTATTTCTTGATTAATCTACAATTGCTACAGGTAATGATACAAGTATACAACCCATTCCCGAACACTACACCGCCAAAAGTAATAGTTGTTTGTTCGGAGCCAGCCGTGGCTGGGCGGACAATGCCCTAAATTGGGTATACTTGATATCGGACAAATGATCTGACCGAGAACAATCGAGTCTGTTCCGAACACAATGGCTTCACCCAATACGGCAATAATGTCAGAGATATTGTGTCTGAGTACGGGAGACACGAACATCAGTTTGAGGCCAGTCTCCCTAAATTCATGATACTTCGTAGAGGTATGAAGTTTGTATCAGTCACAACCAAAAATTCGTAACGATAAATTTCCCGAAAAAACACTTTCTCTAAGGGCCGTTTTGAGCTGATGGATGATAACGCATAGAGGCGATCCACGGATGTCATTCTAATTCCAGGATTTATTACTCAGTCAACTCCTGCTCAAGATAATTCAAAGACATTGACTTATAACGTGTTATAACATATTTGTTTATTCTATTCCCTCGCAATCCAATCCCGTGCTCCGTGTTCCTTGTCTACCAACTTGTCCGCAATGTTCAGAAATATTCGGCCATCTTCAATTACGTCTCTGAGCATGTGTATATCTTGGGCCTGACCTCCATGTTGAACAAGCTTACTAGCAATCCGAATCAAGTATGATGCCACCATGATATGGCCTCGACGAAGGGGGTTAAGTTGAGAAAAGCTGTCCGAAGAGTCAGTGATACCTGCATTGCGAAGAAGTCGAAACAAGGCCAGACGAGGGGCACTGTTATCAGGCTCGCTTTCTCTCATGCTCTGCCAACGGTTCTTGGCATCTTCTCCCGCTTCGTGCTTCTCTACAATGTTGCACAAAAATGCCGCATCTCCGTACTTGATGCGTAAAATTTGATTAAGTTTTTCCTGGTTGATGGTACCAGGACCCCATTTGTGACCTTGACTATCGACGTAAGAAGTGGATGGACCATCCACTTGCAGATTTTGATGGTCCTGAGGTGAAGTCGGGATAGCGGGTGTTCCGGTGATGGGCGAAAGATGCTTGAAGTCAGAGTTTATATACTGAAATTTGTTGTCGTCGTCCTCTTCATTGCAAGGCATTTGGGATTGGGGGTAATCGAAGTCGTTCTCTTCTTGACTTTGCGACTCGACTGCGTAATTGTCATTGTCGTTTTGGCCTGCCAAAATACCCATCATCAAAATTAAAGAAAAAGACAAAAAACGTAAGAATAGCCAACGCACCAAAGTCATGTTGTGACTCAAGACCATCACTACCATGTCTACCCGTTGACTGTGACTCCGAGAATCCAAAATACTGAGTGTCCGAGGTCTGGGAGTCAAAAAATCCACCAGAGCCAACGAGGTTTTGACTGAAGGACATGAAAACTTCAGGACTTATCGAGAAGGGGTTTATTGACTCACTTTGTGATGTTTGCTTTTTGAGTGCAAGCCCGTTTTGGTTTGAGGTCGATATCATCTTCTGCTTCGCGCTCTCTTTTGATTTTGAAGTTGGTTTCGGCCATGATTGTTGGTCAGAGAAAAGGTTGATTGCGCTTGGGCCATTACGATTGCGGTCACAGTTCAGACAAAAGACAATAGTGATCACGACATGTACAGTGAATTATATTATTTAAGTCAAGACTCAAGAAATGCCATCACCCAACATCATCATCTATCCGTACACGCTTCCTATTAGGTCTGGATGTCTCTACAGTCTCTTCTGCTCTCAAACTCTCCCTGCCTTTACCCATCTCAGCCCCACGTGCAATTTTTGCTTGTCTGTTCCTCTCGGCAGTTGCCTTACGCTTTTCAGACGTAGCTTTCCGCTTCTTTTCCTGGTCGTCCTGATATTTCTTCGACACTTCAAGATGATAGGCCTGACGATTTTCACGGAGAGGTCTTGGTTCGGTGAGGGCACGCGGTAAGAGCTGTCGAAGGAGTGTAGCATTATGGAGGGCATGTGTATTAATGATAAAGTTATCATCGTTCACATGTGCGAGAACAGCGACGTGTTGGGAGGTCTCTTTACGCTCTTGCCGAACAGCTTTTTTTCCAGTAAGTTGACAATGATTCAGTCGGCAATCATGCTGGACGGAGACGCGGAAAAGGATATCAGTTATTTCAACTGTCATGAGTGAAGGAGTGTTCTCATGTACGGCGGGACGGCGTAAAACAGGCATATCGAAATCAGGGTGTCGATTTTCACCAAGAATGAATGTTTCCACAGTGAGAATGTAGTCAGGATCCCCATCGACGACAACAGTCGGGGACAAAATTTCTGTTAACCTGCCAATTATAAACTGTGTGCATTAAGTACTGGCAGGAACTTTGAGAGTGTTGAAATACATACCGTATTTAAATTACTTTGACGAATAGCGATCCATGATCCTTTGGTGCAAATGTCACCGGACTGAGCGATAACCGACTTGTTTTCCACCCAATCCGTAGCTCGGACTTGGGGATGTATAGAGAAAGCCTGAGTCTTTTCCCAGCCGAGAGACACCACCTTCTTCTCTGAGAGTGGTGTAACTTTACCTATCAAACCAGTTGAGCTGCCTATTAGTTGACCAATTGGAGTAATTCCACGTACCAAAGTGAACCTTTACCGGAGGAACCCAACCCAAATGTTGCTGAAGAACAGTATCCACTTGAAGAATACGTCGCACTCGGGGCGATGCCTGGACCCATTCACCGTCCTGATACCAGTACCCTCCACTGAGCATATGCTTGAGACGGTCCATTGAAGCGATTTTTCGGGAAATGTCTCGACTCGGTGCCTGGTGGTTGCTGAGTATAGAGCACATGCGAAAGACCGCATTAAAGCACTCAAAAATCTCGGTAGAATTGTGAATGGCAGGTCCATATCGGCGGCAGTCAGAAGTGAGATGTGACAAAAGATGTAATTTAATCTTGACGGTGATTTTGTTGGGATCGACTGCAGCGAATGCGTCCAAAACATTACCAATTCGAACTTCCAAGTCCTTCTACAAGGTTTCTCAGTCAAGTTTGAATGATACGAAGAACAGATAGGATTAAAAAAAGGATACGCACAGTATACTGATTCATGTCATTGATTTCGGGAACCCATAACATCGCTCCAAGCTCACCGACTGCCTTGATAACCTCAAACTCCGCCGGCGTTACAAGATCGTGAACATGAAAGACCATGGTCTGCATGAGAGCTTTGAAATGCTTTCCAATGAGACCGTTACGGTATTGCATCATATATGCGGCGCGGAGTGGAGGTATAGTAAGTCCATTTGTGTCGGTTGACTGAAGCCGAGACACAAAAAGGTGCCTCTGTGAGTCGTTCGAAAGTTTGGAATGGAACATGAGCCAGGTATACTTGACAATGCCCAAAAGAATGGTATGGAGAATTTCGATGGGAGTATCCCGATTTGGGTCAAGGCCTTTGTAGTAGAATTTCAATATGAACTCAGTCACGGCGAAAGGAAGCGGAGCATACCAGCAATGTCAAGTAAAGGATTCATCTTATCGCCTGGCTGTTTATTGAGCCATGTTGACAGCTCAGTGACTAGTTCATTTTTGGGAGTTGTAGGATGTGCCTCAAGAATCTCGTTTGCACGATTTCTCAGAATGTCGATCCAATACTCAGTGACCTTGTCCTTTGTCCCTGTTGCAGTCTGAAGGGCAGCCACCCTTTTCTCATCACCCCCAAGCATCGCCGTTCTGAGTTGCTCATTCAGATTGATCTTCGTTTCAGCTGCTGAGCGCAAAACTCCGGTCTGCAATAAATGTTAGTACAGTCCATGAAAAAATTTGATCAGAACACCGACCTGGAATAAGGCATGATATCCACTATCAGACTCTTTTTCCTTGTGTGTACCACCGACGTTACAGCGGCGACAAAATTGGTTGCTGCCGCCGCCCATATGCGATGCTTCTTCAGACTGCTGCGGATTATCTGCGGGGAGACTTGGAACACGGAGGATCACACCACATGTACGTCGTGTATGGGCATTATAACACTTGATGGGGTTGTTCTGAGTATCACTAATGAACGATAAAATAATGAGTAATTACTGCGGATTGTAAAGAATATTGGGCCCACTTGACAATTTTTCGAATCTCAGCAAATTGTTCAGATGATGAGGCATGGGGGGACGTTGATACAAAGTTGACAAAGTATTCCTGTTGCAGAAGTCGAGCGGGAAGATTCGAATTTTGAGTATACAAATTTATATGCTTATTATATTGCTTCGACTTGTTTCCCGAAACGTCGTCAGCCCACATAGGGACCATCACGACATAGAGGTCTTCATCCTTGCCCACAAGAGCGCGTTTAGGATTCGGCATGACAGAGACTAATGCTGGATCTGTTTCTGGTCAGCCGGTACAACCAAAATATTTCACATTATTTACGGACCGTTCCATGGAATAATTGCATCGGGCATGGATTCGACAATCTCCAAATAATTTGATTCGAATTGATCAGCTTGTATACTTTCTATCTCAGTACGAACGCTCCACGTTCCATCCTAGTGACATGAGAACATCGCTATCCAAGGCACGGTGGAGGAATACTCACAGGGGCTATCTCAACCATATTACAATCTGCGTGCAGAGTGCCTCGACGTTTTATCCATATTCGAGGAATTGCAACACGGCCATCTTGAAGCATGGCGACCTCGTCAATGTAAAACTGCTTGCCATTTTTTGAGTACATTGGAGTAAGGTCCGATGGGTCGAATTCCTTCCAGCGTTCCGCTTGCCACACTTCAGAAATGGGTCCATCTGTTTCTTCCGGATAAAAATTCATGTGCGGTACTACCTGTGGATTTGCAAATTGCTTCTTGGTCTAAGATATGGTAGATTATATTAAGAATGACACAAACTTACTCGTTGGATGGCTTCACGGGGATCGTTGATATAAAAATGGTTTCCCAGAGACGAAGTGCATTCCTTTGGTTC